CGAGACCCGAAGCAATTTAGAGAGACTCTGTCTCAAAAAAAATAAAAAATAACAATAAAAAGGGGCTGAGGATGTGACTCAGTGGTAAAGTGCCCCTGGGTTAAATCCCGGTATCAAAAAAGTCAACCTCTAATCCTCAGGCATGGGAGCCTGGGACAAGGAGGCACCTCTAACTACTGGCCCTAAACTGCTACAAGGGTTGTCCTTGGCCTCAGGAGAGGTAGCTGGGAGCTGATGCAATCTTGGCTTGACACTTCATCTTCCTGTCACCTGCCCCTTCCTCCCAAGAAATTCAGAAGTTGCCTCTCCCACCCACCACTGTCCTTAGCTACAGCCTCGAGGCTAAGGTCCCTCAGTTTGCAACTACATCTGCCCCAAGGGATTTGTCTTCATTCAAAGACAAAATTGCTCATCCAGCCCTGGGCCAGCTGTGCTGCATGGACATCAAAGGCACCTTTAAATGCCACCATCAATAGAGAGCACCTTGTATAGCTTCCTTCATTGGCCTCCCCCAGTGCAGGCTCATTATGCCTAAGCAAAACCACAGGGCACCAAGAACAGTAAGGCCAGAAAACAGTGCACAGAGTGTGATGGGGGCACTGAGCAAGCCACCCCTAAGAATAACCTGCTGGGGTCACTATGAGTCTCTGGGATGGAGACACTGCCTGTTTCCTCTCTTCAGACCAACTTGCCCAGATGGGCTCTGCCACCACTGCCCCCCACCCCCATGGCTGGACATCGTCTCATAACATCCTGGGACACCCCCTCCCCAAGCCCAGGAAGGAAGTTGGAAGCTATGAAAAGGGAAGGAGTAACTTCCTGCCCTCATCCCCAGGCCCAGACCAGATCACGCACAGGATGAATGAATAAGTGGACTACAAGCCCCTTCCAAAGCCCTTCAGGCATCCAAGCTTCCTGCCCTCAAGTTAGAAGCCTGATTTCCAGGCCAGGAGATACCACTGTAAAAGAAAGAAAAAAGAAAAGACAGGATCTGTGCCCAGCTTGCTACTAGCAGGCCCCTCCCCTGGGCCTGCTGCGGTGGGACCCCCAGAAACACAGGATGGGGCTGGAGAAGGGTCTCCTGCCCACTATGGTCCTGCTTTGCCAAGGCCAAATTCTCCCTCTCTGCTGGCTCTGCCAACCCACGGTCTCTCCCCGAGGCGGGCACACTGGATGAGAGGAGGCCCACCTTGGTCCTGGCAACACACTGTCTAAGCAAGGGCTCCCTCACCACGTGGTGCACCCAGAGCGCCAAGAAGGGAGGCTGGGAGCTCCCCCGACACCCAGCCCGCACCAGGGCCAGCCGCCAACCAGGCTTCCCCTCCCCTGGCCTGCACGGTGGGGGGGGGGGGCACCTGAGCTCACTGGTACACAGCAGGGGCGGGGCCTGGTGCTGTCAAGCCACGTGTAGGGGAGGGCCAGGAAGGGCGGGCTGCTCTTAAGGCAGGTCTGGAGGTGAGGTGGAGCCTCCCCTTACTCCTCACCTGGACTTGGAGCGTCTTGGTCCCTGGAGCCAGTAGTGAACACAGCAGCCTGCCCAACCACGGACACCAGGTAGGTGCATGTATTCTCTAAGGAGCTGAGGAAGCTGAGGGACACAGCCCCTTGGCCCTGATTTATTTCACCTAGTACCCTCAGCTTCTCTAGCTCTCCTGGGGCTCAGAGGGAAGGTGGAGAGAATTGCAGAGGAGACTGTGGATTAGAGGTGGTCTCAGGATCACAGACCCCAAGGTCATAACTTTAGGGGAACTAAGTGGGTTTTGAGAGGACCCAGGTCCAGGGAGCGGAATAGGCTGGCCTGAGTTCACAGACGCTTAGGAAGGGACTGGACACAGAACCTGCCTCCCAGTCAGAGCACCGTGCCCTTCTGAGTCAGGCAGGAATGGGGGTCTGGTCCCAGGAGTCCCTGCCTGCCCTTCCAGGTCCTGTCTCACTGGGTCTGGGTGGAAGGAAAGGCATGATCAGGAGGCGCACTTTGAGGATTGGTGGAGAGAGGATTGGGCTATTGGGGTGATGTGCTCTGGGGAAGATTCAGGCTTCACCTTCTCCTCTCACTGACCTGCACTTGTAGGAAAAGAGAGTAAACCAGGGCAAGAGGAGGTCTGTCGGGGTCCCAGGATTCCCCTGGCTCTGGCCTTTGTCAGAACAAAGAAAGAGACTAGAGCCAGCATCTGAAGAGGGAGAAGTTGAGAGAGACCCATAAATAGGGCAGAGCCGATGGGAGCCTTCCCCTCCACTATACACTACACACACACACACACACACACACACTCACACACACACAGTCGGAGCCCAGGAACTCTCCCCTCCCACTTAGAGCGGGAAAGACCAGGAAAGAGTGAGCTGGTCAAGTGTGTTGGTGGGGCTGGAAAGGGAGCAGCATCTAGGAACACCAGTGTGAGCCCCGGCCACTGTCTGGGGGGTCTAGAGGTGATTTGGAGAAGAGCTGAGAGACTATGACCTTTGCTCAGTACCAGTCTGACCCTCTCAGTTCCAGAATCCCAGAAGGGGCAGGTAGAAGGGGGCTTCAGCATTAACTGTGGCACACCAGCCCAGGGTGAGCATGTGGGACCAGGGGGGGGCCAAACATGCCCAGATGCAAACCCCAGTTCCACCCTTGGTTGCATGACTTTGAGCAAAACCCTCAGCCTGTACCCTCCTCACAGAACTACTGCGAAAATGAAACAAGTTTTACGTGTCTGTTATTATCATGTCTCCATTATGCAGAGGAGACCAATGAGGCCCTCCGGGAAAGGAAAGGACTTTGGCCCAAGCTGGCACAAAAGCTGTGTCCAAATCAGTAGACTGGCCTCCTGGGCCCTGGTCCTGGGGAGATCCAGTCCCCCGGTGCACTCTGCAAAGTCAATGGCCCCAGCCTTCTTTCTCTCTGGGCCTGGCTGGAGAACTCTGCAGGGTGCGTCTGGGTCCTGTCCCAACAAACCCAGGACACTTGGAGTCCATGTGGAAAAAGCTGCAGCTCCGGCTCTGTGTCCTCGGCTGCCCCCGGGGAAGGAGCGCAGAGGCCGACTCCTTTCCACTGCCATTTATAGACACGCTTCCCGCACCGGGGAGGCGCCACCCCTTCCAGGTCTCGGCCAAGGAGAAGTTTGGCAATAAGCCTACAGGAGCCCCGGGAGGAGGAAGAGGGGAGAGAAAGGCCTGGTTTCTGTCACTAACTGACTGTACAACCTTGGGCAAATTAGGCCGCTGTGGGGACCTCAGGTGATTCTCTGCACTTGAACTCCATATGGCGCAAGGAGTTAAGATGTCAAGTTCCCAAGGCCTGGGTGGGTAGCCCAACTCCGCCATCTTAATGGATGTGTGTCCTATGCGGTTTTCTTAACCTTTCTGGGCCTCAGTATACTCATCTGCTAAATGGGCTGATAATAGACTGTGAGAGGGTTCAGTTCCTACATGCAACTCATATGCAAATGCTGGCACTTGGCAAGTTCTCAGTGAATGGGACCCACCATGATGAGGGTGTCATTCTTCATGAGCCCAATTGCTAAATAGAATCGTCGTGATTCTTTCACAAGCAGCACCTCTTTGCTTCCACAGCCCTCTCTGGGAGGAAGCAGAGTTCTCATCCCCCATCTCACAGATGAGGAAACTGAGAGAGTCACACCAGTAGGATTTTTTTGATCTGGGACTATCATTTGTCCCAGGCTGGCCTCAACTGCCTTTTCCCGCACTAGTCGGACTCTGAAGCAGAATGTGGAGGAGGCATCATGGAAAAGGGGAGAGTTGAGGGTGGTGGGGGGGGGACAGGCATCAAGTCTCAAGGCAGGTGGTGGGAGTGTGACCAGCCTGTCTTAGCTCCAGTTTTCTTAGCAGCCTGTTACCTCCTTCCCATCCCCACCTGTGGAAAACCACAGGAAGAAGCTTCCACAGTAAGGGAAATGAAAACATTGGGATATATATTTTCCTGCATGAGCCTTCAGGGAGCGAATACTGTCTGATGATGTCACTCCCCAGCTCAAAACACTTCTGCGGCTCCCCGCTGGCTGCCCTCGGGGTTGAGTTGGCTATCCAGAGCCAAGCCTGCAAGGCCCTGTAGGGTCTGGCTAGCAGCCCTCCCTCCGTCCATGAAGGTGCTCTCTGTGTTTCCTGGATGCTCAGGGATGTCTCATGGCCCCTGTCTGTCTGCTGCACCTTTGCACACCCCGCCTCCTCACTCCCCCAGGCCTTGCCCAACCAGTTCCTATTTTTCCTCCTTATCTTCCTCTCCACATTCCCTCCTCTAGGAATTCCTCCTGACCTCCCCACCAGCACCCACAGAACCTGCTTCCTCTCCACCCCATCAGCTCCCAGCAGCTGACCTGGGCACCTCTCTATTTCACCCACTGGCCCAAGTGCAGGGCCCAAACAGCAGGCATCCTGGGGTCTGGTCCTGCTCTGACACTTGAGGGCAGTGTGACTTTAGGGCAAGTCACTTATCTCTCAGTGTATCAGTTCTTTCATTGTAAAATGGGATGATAACAGTACCTACCTTATAAGGTTGTTATGAGGACTTTAAAGGGCTTTATGTGTAAGTATCAGGGCCCGTGTACATAACAGTTCCTCAATAAACATTAGCTAATTTATTGAATAAATATGCCCCAGATATAGTAGACATTCTATAAGCATTTCCTGAAGTTATCTCACAATCACTTGCAGAATGTTTGGGACGTGCTACACTGGCCCAAACACATCATAAATATTAGCTTATTTTATAAATGAGAAAACTGAGGCACAGAAAAGCTAATTAACTTATCCAAACTTACCCAGCTAGTGAGTGGTAGAGTCAGGGTGCAAATCTGGGTACCCAAACTTTTATGAATGAATGAATGAATGAATATGCCCTTGTTTGGAGCAATGGAGGCAGGAGTTTTCCCAACAGAAGTAACTCAGTTCCCATCCTCACCTGTTTCAGGTCCGTTGATCTCGGCAAGTGATAGCTCTGGGATGTAAGTGAGCTGGTTGGGAGCCAGAGGTAGACCGCCCGGCGCGCCAGCCCCACCATGTCCCAGGTGATGTCCAGCCCCCTGCTGACGGGAGGCCATGCAGTCGGCTTGGCTCACTGTGAAGAACCCAGGAGGGCCCTGCACCCAGCGCCCGGCTCCAGCCTGCCGCCCCAGTGTCCTTATTACACCACAGAAGGCTGGGGAGCTCAGGCCCTGATGGCCCCCGTGCCCTGCAAGGCGCCCCCCAGCAGGCTCCAGAAGACCCCACAGGCAGAGGCCAAAGCCCACAGCTTCCAGCAGAGCCCGGGTGAGCAGGCCATGGGGACCCCACAGGACCTTGACTCCTACATTGACTTCTCACTGGAAAGCCTCAACCAGATGATCCTGGAACTGGACCCCACCTTTCAGCTGCTTCCTTCAGGGGCTGGTGGCCCCCAGGCTGAGCCTTCCCAAAGCACCACCTTGAGGAGCAAGAAAGAGGAAACTGAAGCCCTGGGTAAGGACTGGGACACAGTGTCAGCAGGAGGGCTGGGGTCCCTGAGCTCCTGCGGAAGGACTGTCCTATAGAATCAGAGGAACAGGAGACACTCTCCTGTGGGGAGGTGCAGTGCAGCTCTAAATAAGTTATTAACCTCTCTGTTCTTCTCTGCTACACAAAAGGGATAAATATAAGTTTCCCTCACTATCCAGTTCTCTTTGGTTCCTGAGTTTGGAAAGTGATGGAAACGTGTTTTGTATGAATTTTTTTGAGATTGTCAGTAAGCTAATACATCTAAGTAGTTTGTGCAATGCCGTGCCTCGGAGTTAAGAGCTTGATAAATGTGGAGTTTCTGAACCATACATTCTGCAGTGTCTCTCTTTAGGTCCTGACTGGGGCCCCCTGAAATTATGATAGGACTCTAAATTATTTCATCACAAGTTTACATAATGTAATCTTTAATAATGGCGGAGTTTAGCAACCAGCTAGCTGGATGAAATCTTGCAAATTTAACAATCAGCACTTAACAAGCTGGTACAAGCCAACCCCTGTTCGCCACTGAGTCCAAGGGAATCTGGAAAGCCCTACATCTGGATTCAGTTTCCCACACAAAGAGCTTCATGTGTGCTCTGAGGATAAGGGTCAAAGTGCAGCAGCCCCATTGTTCAGACAGGAAGACCGAGGCTTCCTGGGAGTTTAAACCATCAGCGGGAGCAAGGGCACAGTTAGAATTACAGAGAGAGTCTATCCTAACTTCCATTTATTAAGTACGTATTATTTACCAGACTCTGTGCTGAGGTCTGTATATAGAATCCTCCATCCTCCCAGCTCATGCCCATGAGATGAGCACTTTATGCCCATTTTACAGAAGGGAGAAAAACAGGTTGAGGGGGTTGAGAAAGGAGCCTAATCAAGGAGTTGGGCAGACCTTATCCAAGCTGTTTACTTCACTTCTTTGTGTCGTCCAGCCTCATCTATAAAATGGAGATAATAACTCCATCTGAAAAACGGAGCGTTGCAGGGATTAAAAGAAGTAGCATTTGTTGGCTGGCTGTCACAAACCCTGGCACGCCATGAGTCATTTCAAATGGTGGCTGTTTTATTAAATGCTGGGATTGCATGGAGGCCCAGCCCCAGGGTAGGATTGGGCTCTGGGGTGGAGGTCAGCCCGGCACCTCTGCCCTAGGCCGCCCCTGGCTTCCAGCCTGCTCCCCTCCTCCCACCCGCATTGCCTGCCAGGCCTATTAAAGGAGCTGCCTCCTCCCTCAAGAGCCTTCCTGCAGCCTAAGACCAGTTGTGGGCACGTCACTGCAGGGAAGCAAGACAGGGAAGCGTCTTGGGCCTAATCACGACTGGCAGGAGCAAGCCCAGGGTTTTAATGTTCATGCCCCAAGGCAGGGGTTCCACACATCCAAGGCCAGCCAGGGCAAGACCAGTCTCTGACCGGCATCCACATGCATAGGGTGGGGGTTGATAACATCTAGGCCCTTCCCCCACTGGAGGGGGCTGATGGGCAGTGGTCCATGTCCTTGGATGCCCAGTGTTATGAACATAATCCACCTAACTCTGGGGATCAGGGAGCTGGCAGTGGTCAGAGGGTCCCCCCAAAGCTGCCTAGGTCTGCTCTAGCTCCTTCTAATAGAGAGGGAAAATATCCTCTCCTCTAACCCCTGCTTAGACACTCCTCATGCCTGAGTGCTCACTACCTCCTAAGAGAGCCCAGCCAGGTTACCTTCCCAATATGAAGTTCTCTACCATCACTAAGAATGTCAGGCACCTGTCCATCGCGGGGTCTGCTACCTTCCCATGCATCTCAGGTCTCCCCAAGCCCACCTGCAGACCACCAGCACTGGTGACAAAGCTCTCACAGGCCCAGGGCAGTGGAACTAATTCTGGGAATTGTGGTGAGTTACACATTCAATATGGAGGGCTCCCCTGCACGCACACTGCTGTGTAATCTCATCCTCTCTCTTTTGGGGGTGCTGAAGGTGAGGATCCTGATATTATGTTCATTGGAGGGTGTTCACTGTTCCTCCCTGTCCCACCTTGGCAAAGTTCAGACCATTGGTGATCCTATACTGACATGTCCCCTGGAGAGGAAAAGAGAGAGAGAGAGAAAAGTTTTTTTAAAAAACTTAGACTGTGTAATGCATGCTCCCATAAAGGAAATAGTGGTAGCCTCATTTTACCGACAAGGAAATTGAGACTCAAGGAGGGAAGCGATGGCCCCTGGCCAGGAGGAGGTTAGGTCAGATCTCAAACCCCACGTTGCTGGGCTCCAAAGTCCACATTCCTGCCAGGCATGGCACATATATCTGTAACCCCGGCGACTTGGGAGGCTGAGGCAGGAGGATCACAAGTTCAAGGTGAGCCTCAGCAACTTAGCAAGACCCTGTCTCAAAATTTACAAAAAATAATAAAGTGGACTGAGAATGTGGCTCATGCCCCTGGGTTCAATTCCCAGCATCCCCCTAAACAAAAACAAAGTTCATGTTACCATCATTTTCTATTTCTTGGGGCTAATTTTCTGCCAGCTGGGGCATCACAAAATATCTATTTGGAGGCAGCCTGAGGGCCCCACTTCTGAGACTCAGCCCTTCCCAGCACTTGGCCAACCTTGCCCTGAGTCCCCTGCCTCTCTGCCTCCTGCTCACCTTCTCTTAGGCCTGCCCTGCAGGGTCCCCATCCCACAGGGAGCGTGGCTCCTAGAATCCGACACCAAATCCCTCCTTTCTCCTCTCCCATGACCTCCCACCCCATCTTGGGAACAGGCCCCCACATTTCATTTTCCAGCAATTTCTGCCAGGCGAGGCAGCTTGCCAGTCCCGAGGGAAGGGTATTTAATAACCATCTCTCCACCCCCCCACCCACGTGCCCTCCCTCGGCCTGCCTGGCCTGCTGCTGGCGCCCGCATCCACCCTGCACTGCTCAGACTTGCCCCACAGGCCTGTAAACAGCGACTGCACCCCAGTGTTGGGGTGGGGGCCCCTACCTCTCCAGCCACATCCACCTCAGCACAGCAGCGGGTGCCAGGGTTCCTCCTTCCCTTCCCACCCTGCGCAGCCTGCTCAGCCCCCCACCCCCCAGGGGTCTTTGTGTGATCCAGGAAGCAGGGGACCAGGAAATTTACCAGGCCCAGAAGCCCTCCCCAAAGCCAAGTGGTCCCTTGAAATGAGGCCTCAAGGAGCCCACTCCTCTTCCTGGCATAGGCATAAAAAGAACTCAGGAGCAGGAGTTGGGTTCCTCTACTCACTAGCTGTGTGGCATTGGACAGCTCGCTTAACCTCCCTGAGCCTTGATTTCTCATCTGTAATATTGCCTACTTTTATTAGGTTGTTGTGAGAGTTCAATGAGACAATACAGTTAACTTATTTGCAGCAGTTCTGGTACATAGCACTCAAATGCCAGTCTTTATTTAAAAAAAAAAAAAATTGTACAATAAATGCTAGCTACAGTTCCATTTATCTCCAAGCCTCAGTTACCTTCTCTAACAACAATACCTGTCCTGCCTAAGGACTGTTATGAGGTCCAAAGGTAGTTATGGATATAAACACTATAAAATCCTATAAAAATAGAAGTTGCACTTGCCAGTCTTCCAGAAGAATCCACCCCAGTCTAGATCTCTTCTCTTTCAGAGCCTATAATATAGTGCCCCAAATGCTCCCCCTGTGCCCTCATCTTCCTAAGGAGAAGGGCATCTGCTGTTCCCGGCCTCAAGGGCCGCCCTGGGCCAGGCTCCAGCTCCGTTCTGCATGTAAACTCCCCGGAGGGGAGCAATCTGCAGAAAAGGAAACTGAGGCTCAGTGAAGTTATGAAACCTAACCCAGTGCCTCTTGGCTGCCAAGTGACAAAGCCAAGACTCACACCCAAGTTCATGTGACTGCAAAGCCGTTACTGCACAGGCTGGGACAGCAAGCCCAGGTCAGCCCTCCAGTCCCGCTCACCTGACGCAATACCCACCCCCTCCACCCTACTCCAACAGGCTCAGGCAGAGGCTCCACCGTGAGCAAGGCCAGGAGGCCCTACCCAGGAGCGGGCTGGGGCAGGCTGGGACTCCACAGGCTTGGGGTGGGAGGGATGTGACTGTGCCAGGCCCAGGGGAGGTGGGAGGCCCGCAGACAGGAGCCAAGGGTGCGGATTCTCCCTGACTCTGACTCATAGCCCTCCAGCAGGGGGCAGCTGGAGACCCCTACCTTCCACCACCTTTGCTGGTACAGCACCAGGACAGCTGTCCTGCCCCAGGTTGGGAGGAAGAGTGTCCATCCTCCCCACAGGAAAACCACAGGGCACCTCACTCCATCTCTGGAGGAGGAACAGGGTGTCGGAAACCCAAGAGTCCTGGATGCCCGCATTGGGGCCCAGGAGTAAATCAGCAGCTCCCCCCACCCCCACCCACCCCTGTGCTCACGGGAACCAGCTATGAGTGTGGGGACAGCCGCAGTGGGAGGCCTGTGACACAGCCAGCCCTGCTCTTAAGGAGTTCTCAAACTCTACTCTGCACTCAGGTGCCCAGAGGGTCTCATAGAAGGGCAAATTCTGATTCCATGGGCCTAGGGTAGAGCCTGAGGTTCTGCCAATGGCCAGCTCCCAAGGGACGTGGTGCTAAGGCTCCAGCATCAGAATCACCTGGGAAACTAAGAAAGCAAAAGCATAAACCAACCCGAGGTCTGGGGGACCCTTCAGATCCTGATCTAGTTAGCATGGGGCAGTGGAACTTTTATAAGCTCCTGCATGATTCTAGGGTGTGACCGGGCTTGAGAACTCTAGCCTTCATTTGTGGATACAGAGAAACAGCCCTTACGCATCCTGATTGAGGAAGGCATTGGAAGCCTCTCCATCAGAAAGATGGAGACGATCCCTCAGATTTTAAATACCTACTAAGTGCCAGATCCATTTCATCTTTCCTGTGTCACCGAGAGGCTGGGCAAGGCTATAAGTGGTAAAGTCACTTGACTGAGCTCTCCGGTCTCAAGTGGCAGAGTCCATACCTCAAACCTAGGTCTGTCTGATTCCAAGGCCACTGCCTCTCCTCACCCAAGGAACAACATCGCAGAAAGGGTGACTTTGGAACTGAGCCCTGAAGGTGGAGTTGGGTGTTAATTCCGATTCTGGGCCTGTTTCCTCATCTGTGTAAAAAGAGGAGGGACCCGAGGGTCTTCAGGCTCCTTCCAGCGTTTCCATCCTGAGCGTCCAGGCTCCTGGGTTTCACCGATGTTCTGCTTTTTCTCCCTAAAGATATAAAGTACATCGAAGTGACCTCCACCCGATCGCGGTGCCACGATGGCTCTCAGCGCTGCTCCAGCCCATCTGTCACACCGCCATTCGGCTCTCCACGCAGTGGTGGCCCCCTCCTTTCCAGAGATATCCCCCGAGAGACTCGAAGCAGCAGCGAGAGTCTCATCTTCTCTGGGAACCAAGGCCGGAGTGCCTCCCCTCACCCCTCCGCCTCGCCCAGCGTCTCCATCCCTTGCGTGGGGAGCAGAGCTTCAGGCCCTCATGGCCTGGGCTCCCCACTGAGGGCCCTGGCTTCACAGCGGGGCAGCAGGGTTTCTGTGCTGTCAGCCAGTCCAGCGTCTGATGTCAGCTATGTGTTCGGGAGGTAGGTTCCCTGGTTTCCAACCTTGCTCCCCAGCACGCACACGCACGCACACACTTCCACACAGATCCTAAAATCACCGCGGGCACCCTGCTCTATCTGAGCAAAATCTGAGCATTCACTAAGACTAAAAGGATGATTATTGTCTTTTCTGCCATCACAGCCATTGGGATTTCGTGTTTTCCTCAAGCATTTACAATCTAATTCAAAAACTGTGTTCCCATCTGTCTGCCTTTTGAGAATGGAGCCGCTGCATTGATAAGGCTCACCTGTCTCCTCTCCAGCCCTGGCACAACCCATCTCCAGAAAGGGCTTTTTAAAACTCCAAACCACAGGGATGTATGTAGACATTGGAGGCCTGAAATAAACGTTCGGGAATGAAAGCCATTGTGCTGATATACCCTTTGTTGCTGGCAAAACCTGGTAGAAGGAGGCCCACATACCTGGGCATTATTTGCAACAGTCCCAGCTCACTTTTCCCCAGGCCTTGCAGTACAACTGCAAACACACCCCATCCTGCAGGGTTTCTGCAGCCATGCCCACCAGCTGGATGCTGAGCTGGCTTCCTCCAACTGGGATGTTGCTCCTGGATCAGCATGGATATGCCCAATCCATATTCACCCTGACTGCAAGGCTCCTGGGAGTGATGCACAGGGGACAGACCAGTGTGACTGTTCAGGCAGACCTGCCTGGCTGGAAAGGCAGAGGGAATTCAAGCCAGCCTAAGCCATGCAGCCTGCAGGGGGTCAGCCTATGGGCTACTTAAAATGACCACAGACCCTATGGCTAGATTTCTTTGACCTTCAGCATAGGATCTGTGTGGAAGGGATAATGTGGTCATGCCCTTTGCTCTTTGATCTGGGTTTGGGGTAGCAGGATATGATCTGTTTGGCCAAAACCATGGCTCCCAGATCACTAGATTTCAGAACTTGGCTCTGGCCCTCAGTGTCCACCCTGACTCCCTAACACTTTGTTCCTGGTCTCTCCCCTGCAGCAGCCAGTCCCTCCTCCAGTCTAGCATCTCCAGCCCTCAGTCATCTTCTAGATCCTTGGAAAGTCCAGCCAGCTCTTCCTCCAGCCTCCACAGCCTTGGTCCAGCGTCCCTCTTTATGAGACCCAGTGATGTCCAGGCCCCCAGCAACCCTGCTCTGAACATGGGCCAGCCCAGAGCCAACCACTCTCCTCCACTGGCCAAGGAGCATGCCAGCAGCTGCCCCCCATCTGTCACCAATTCCATGGTGGACATACCCATTGTGCTGATCAATGGCTGCCCACAAGCACAGTCTCCCCCACCCCAGTGGACACCAGGACAGCAAGGGTTTGTCCAGCCTGGAACTGCTTCTTCCAGCCATCCCCGTCAAGCCACCAAGAGCCACAGCCAGACCCTGCCAGATGCCTCCTTCACCACGTCCCCAGAGGGTAAGTTATAAACCTCGAGTGCTAAAAGGTTTGGTTAAGGGTAAGAGACAAAGCATCAGTGGATTTCTATAATAGCCAGTCAACATATTTATTGAGTACCTACTATGTGCCTGACCCTGGGCCAGGTTGTGAAGACACAGTCTAGAAAGGAGACCAAAAGCAAGAATCACTACAGAGTCAGATAAGCACAAGTAAAGACGCTCGAGCTTATGGGGCAACAGAGGAAGGAGTGATGCTTACAGTCTGGAGAACAGAGGAAGTGACTCTGAGCTGGATCGGGAAAGCAGATCAGAGGTGTGTGCCCAGGGAAGGAGAGAAAGGGCATTCCCCGCAGAGAGAACAGGGACTCCACAGTCACCACGCACAGAACACATTTAGAAGATGCTTAGAATGTTGGGTGCAGGTCATTGGGAGTAATCTGGAGGCAGATTGTGAAAAACCTTGAATGTCAATTTAAAAAGTGGATTTTACACTTTAGGCAACAGGGGACCATCAGAGAGTCCCAGACAGGGGGGAGGCCGGCCTGGTGGCTCACGCTGGCAGCTGTATGAAAAATGGATTGCCATGGCAAGATCTAGGGTGGGGCAGTGGGGGTGGAGGAGACAGAACAGAGCCAGGCAACCCTGGGGATGTGGAAGGAGCAAGCCTGCTGACTAACCCAGGGAGAGCCAGAGGGCGCGTCGGAGCTCACTCTGACGTTCATGGATGACGAGAACACAGAGGGGGCGCACAGGGAATGGAGACAACGCATACCGATCCAGACAGCCGAAAACCACAAAACAGCAAACACCCTCCTTCCCGGAGTCTGTGACTGCAGGCGTCCAAGAAGAGCACAATCAACAAGAACCCACAGCAGTAAACACAAAGGCTGAGCCGCAGCACCCCACGGGTGCACGCCTCCCATGAGCAGAGCCCCAGGAACGCCGTCCCAGCTCCCCCTTCCTCAGTTATCTCTGTCCCAGGAATTCCAAAGGTGGAGCGGAGGGGTGAGGTGCTCACTAGCCTACTGCTCACTCTCACACAATGCAAGTGGGAGAAAATGGTACGTTAGGCCTGACTTTGAATCCGTCTGATCACTTTCCTGGGCAAATCATGTAGTGATTGTAGTGCATTTTATATAATGAGTTACTCTCAACTGACCACCACACACCTTCGTAAGATGCTGAAATTAAGGGCTGGAGTTGTGGCTGAGTGGTAGAGTGCTTACCTAGCATGTGTGAGGCACTGGGTTCGATTCTTAGCACCGCATATAAATAAATAAAATAAAGGTCCATTGACAACTAAAAAATATCTTTTAAAAAATGCCAAAACTAAGAACCATTGCTGTCTGCCTTAGGAAGCCAGGAACATGGTCATTTTGTCATTTCAAAGAGCACTTTTGCATAGACAGGTGATAGTTCCATCCTGCAATGGTGATGCCCCGGATATCACTAATGATACTCCAGGATCTTATCAAATTCTGCAAAACATTCTCAAAACAAAATTCATTCTAATTTCCTATGTTCTTAGAAGATTAAAGACAGTCAGAAACTGGGCATGATGGTGCACCATATAATCCCAGCAACTCAGGAGGCTGAGGTAGGAGGATCAAGAGTTCAAAGCTAGCCTCAGCAACTTAGCGAGGCACTAAGCAACTCAGTGAGACCCTGTCTCTAAATAAAATACAAAATAGGACTGGGGATGTGGCTCAGTGGTCACATGCCCCAGAGTTCAATCACTGGGTACCAAAATAAATAGATAGATAAAAAAATAAAAAGGGCTGGGAATGTTGCTCAGTGGTTAAGCACCCCTGGGTTCAATCCCCAGTAACAAAAAACTAACTAACCAACAAACAAAAAAAGATCATCAAAGGTTGTAGAACCTACTCTGTCCCCTCTGGGCTTCAAGAGCTGAACCACTGTCCCAAGTCAGTCAAATACTCAGGCTCCCAACCTCTGAGCACAGATCTGCTGATTTCTTGCTCTACATCTTTCCTTTAATTTTCTTTCCTAAGCCAAATATACTTCTAAGGAACTCAGAATTGCTAAGGACAATGTGAAACCAAACATGCGTCTGAGAATTCTTTATCTATCCCTATTTCAGTCCCCACCAGGCAACGTCAGGTTTGTTATCTATTTGTTTTTGATTCATTACCAAGGATACAGGGGACTTCTCCGTCCCAGATGACCCAAGCCCTGGAACCCTTCTGTTTGGTTTTGCTTCTTTAGGCAGTTTGGAGATAACTGGGGATGGGGGCAGGGAGAGTGGGTCAAATGGGACCTCTGGGCGGAGGAGCAGGAGAGGGTCTCCAACCTTCTCTGATGATCATCCCTCAGCAACCCTCCATCTCACCTACAGAATTCCCTCCTCTGTGTTTCCAGGTCCTTCCAGGGACATGCAGCCCACCATGAAGTTCGTGATGGACACATCTAAATACTGGTTTAAACCAAGCATCACCCGAGAGCAAGGTAAAAGGAAGCTGTGTGTTTCAGGGGACAAGTGACCCTAGGAATCAGGTCTGGGTCCACACATTAGGCAGATGGGGGCCTGAGTCATTGTAAAAAAGGGAATAGCAAAGAGTAGGCCCAGATAGGAGAGAGTCCCACTGACTCAAGAGGACCTGCTGACCTCAAGAAGAAATAGGACCTACAGTAAAAATGGTAGACATTAGACAATACAGAGGACGTCCTGGGAGCTAAGGTAACTCTGTAATGACTGCTCTAGGAAGACCCTAGGGGGCTGGGACCAGAGAGTGTTCCTGTGGAGTGGTGTCTGCCTCTGACCCCAGCATTCTTCCAGCAATCGAGCTGCTGAGGAAGGAGGAGCCAGGGGCTTTTGTCATCAGGGACAGTTCCTCATACCGAGGCTCCTTCGGCCTCGCCTTGAAGGTGCAAGAGGCTCCGACATCTGCCCACAACCGACCAGGTACGCACCTGTCCCTGTGCTCACTCAAGGCCTCACTGAGGCCATGAGGGGTGGTGGGTTCCATCCCAGCCTGATGCTAGATTTCAGGGTGACCTTGGGCCAGTCCCATAGCAAGTCTGGGTAGGAGCAGCTGCCTCCAGCCCTGAGCCACCACAGGAAAAAAAAAAATCTTTCACTGCCAGCTTGAGTTGCCTCTGTCCTCCTGAGTACCCCCAAATTCCCTGCTCTCCCTTTGTAATAGGAAGAGGAAGAGGAAGACCTCAGCCCTTCCCTACGTTGCTCTCATGGGTAGCTACCCCTGTCTCATCAACCTAATGTAATAATATGTGTGAATGGCTTATCACATTTGTGCAACAGCTCATTACATGCATGTGATAGCCTATCTCATGTGTTAATGGCTTATCACACATGTGATAGCTTATCACGTACTTTCTCATGATTTCACATGCTCGTCCGATAACTCAGCACACATCTATGAGGTCTCTGCAATGTGTGAGCAACAGGGATACAGAGGAGTTTCACGCAGAGGCCACTGCGTTAGGGAAAGAGAGGAAAACACATAATTATAGTACAAGGTACCTGGGTCACAGTCCCTCCCCCAAGCTTCAGGCTGTACCTCTCATTTAACAGATGAGATAACTGAGGCTCAGAGGTAATGACCCCAGAGCAATTAAGTGTCAGAGGGAGAATGAAAACTCCAACCTTATATTCTATTTTTTTTGGACTGGGGATTGAACCCAGGACCGTGTGCATGCTAGGCAAGCACTCTGCCACTCTACCGTCCCCAGCCCTTTTTATTTTTAATTTGAGACACATTGACACTAAGTTGCCAAGGCTGGCCTTGAACTTGCAATCCTCCTGCCTTAGCCTCCCAAGCAGCTGGGATTACAGGCATGCTCCACCAGTACCTGGCCCAACCTTGCGTTCTTTACGTTGTATCTCACTGTTGGAATAAGAAAACTGGGACGAGTATTGGTTACCAAGGAAGCCTGACAAGAAGGAAGGAACCCAAATCGAGGAGGGAGTCTATGGGCTGGAGGAGAAGAGTCCAAAGGGCACTCTGTACCCTCCCAGGGCCAACCTGGCTCTGGCAGGGATGATCTGGTAGAAAATAATAGCAGCAGGGCTGGGGTGTGGAGAAAGAGACAGAAACCAGACGGAAGAGCGGATATTTAGTCTAAACAGTAATTGGGACCATCCCTGATAACTCTTAACCAAGAGAGAGTTTTCCTGAAGGGGAATGACTGGACACAGAAGCCTTTGAGCAAATGTGTTGGCACCACTTTGGGGGAGTCCTTGATCGTAGGATCTCCACTGCTGTTCTGTCCAAGGCAGGGGACAGCAAGATAACCTTTGGATGGACCTGGAGGAGGTGGGTCAGGGAAGGAGTTGGACTGGGTTTGGCTACCACAGGGCTCTGGAACTCCTTCTTCTTCCTTTGTCCAGGTGAGGACAGCAATGATCTGATCCGTCACTTCCTCATCGAGTCTTCTGCCAAAGGGGTTCATCTCAAAGGAGCAGATGAGGAGCCCTACTTTGGTGAGCTGCCCCAACCTCCAGGCCCCTGGGGTGGGGGTCCCACTCTTCTGAGCTACTATGGCGGGCAGGCAGTGGGCCAGGAGAGCCTTCTTCATGCAGGGCCACCTGTTTTCCTGCAGGGAGCCTCTCTGCCTTCGTGTGCCAGCATTCCATCATGGCCCTGGCCCTGCCCTGCAAACTCGCCATCCCACAGAAAGGTAGGTCTGAGCCCCAAGGAGGCAATGTCAGATGCCAAACCTGTTCATTCCTACTAGTAAGGCTATCAATGGTCACATTCTACCCTGTTTGTGGATTCCTTTAGAGTCATGAACAAAAGTCCAGCTCTACTTCCTTAGCTGTATGAATTTGAGAATGTGCACCTCTGAGCCTCAGTTTCCTCTTCTATAAAATAGGAACAATCATCATCATACCTCCCTAAAACATTGGGATGTAGGTTGAAGGAGAGAGCGCCCACCAGGCCCTTAGCACAATGCCTGACACGGAACAGATGAATTAAAAACAGAGGTGGTTCCCCGCCATCCCACTGGGATTGGTTGAGCACGTGCTCATTCACTGCCCACCATGACCTTATGAAGTAGACAGTACTGCTATGTCCCATTTCACACCGGCCCAAAGGCCCACGAAGTCACACCCAAGGACTATCAGCAAGCCCTATCCAAAATGCACAGCCCAGACAGAGCCGGTCACCTCAGGACGGGCAGGGGAAGTTAGGTGTAAAAGCACCTCTACTTTCTACAAAGAAGAGCCTGGGTTTGGGATGGGTTCTGAAAGAAGTGAGGTCTGGAGCCCATGGGGGCGGAGAGTGGAGGGGTGGAGAGGGAGGTGGGGGGGGCACTGTGGGGGCAGGGAGCAGGGGGAGAAGGGATCAAAAGACTTCCAAGCAATGCATTTGGGAGCCTAAAGTGGCCCTGGTTGCCTAATTACCCTAATCACACCTGGTTTCTCCGTCAGTCACTTCCTGGGGGTGGGGGTGGGGTGGGGGGTAGAGGTAGGAGATGTTCAAAGGGATTCATGGGGCCTGTTCCTCTGAAGGGGGTCCACTCATTCCATCCCCGTCCCCTTGGGGGCCTGTTCCTTTACCTTGGCTCAGAACTGGGAGGCGCAGATGGGGTGGCCTCAGACTCCTCTACAGACAGCCCGGCCTCCTGCCTGAAGAAATCTGCGGGTGAGTGGTGTGGGGGCGGCGCCAGGCCTGGCTGTGCCCCCAGAGGGCCCCTCCCAGCCCTACACACAGGCCCACACATGTTTCCCATCATGGCTTTGTTTCTGCAGTTTAACAAGGTGTCACAGCCCCCTGGCCCCCCTTTAAACCAGAAGTTGAGAGGCTGCAGGCATTGACCCCAAGGAAGGGGGTGGGGTGCTAGCAGGGCTTATACCCCATCCTGTGCCAACATGGACATACATGTACGTATGGGTCTAATATACCTGCCCTGGAGGAGGTGTCTAGATGGGGATCCTCTGAAGGGTATCCTGAGGGCGTCAATACAGGAAAGAACCCTGCCCCCACTCCCACCACCACCCCCCACCATCCCCCATCCAAGGGCTAGATAAAGATCAGCCCTGTCTCCCTGACAGCTCCTACTCTGTGCCCCCAGACACAATGTCTCCCCTCCACATACTTAATTTCTCTCCCTGCTCTTACCAAAGGAGGAGGTGGGATGGGGTTTGGGGGCGGGATAGGTCCAGACAGAAGGCAGTTCTCCTGAGTGACCCTAGACACAAGGCAACATCCCCTCCCTTCCCTCACCCACCCCAAAGGGCCAAGGGCCAGAGCAACACAAAGCAAGAGATGTCCAAAAGTCCTCTGAGATTGGCCTCAACTCTCTGTCACACTCTCCCTACCTATCTGGTGGCCAGTTCTAAGGGGAACCTCATGAGAATTCTGAAGAAGAAATCCCCCTCCCCTGGCTCTGGGCAGAGGGAAGATCTGGGCCTGGTGACTCCCCCATCCACTCCAAGGACCCTGGCTGCATCCCACAGGCTGCCACACTTTGTACCTGAGCTCCGTGAGCGTGGAGACCCTGACGGGAGCCTTAGCCGTGCAGAAGGCCATCTCAACTATCTTGGAGAGAGAGGTCCTCCCCACACCCACTGTGGTCCACTTCAAAGTCACTGAGCAGGGCATCACCCTGACTGACATCCAGAGGAAGTAAGGGCCTTCCCCCTAGTCCTGGGGCTACAGGGATGGGCAGCGTAGGTCTGGAGGGATGGTGAGACTGATGCTGAGCATCAGTGAGAAAGGCAGAGTTCAGGGTCCTGGACCAGATGGGACTGGTGACATGCTGGGTGACTCCAGGCAAGTTCCCTGTCTTCTCCAGGCCTATCTCCAATGACCCCCTGCCAAGCCTCCCTCATGGTGACTGATTTTGGAGTCACTGGGTGCTGATTAAGTGTGCACCCAAGGAGGGGACATCGTTCATGGGCCAGATGCTGGCTGACTGCTGGGACACAGATTGGAATGAGATCACTGCTTCCTGGGGCTCAGGGACTCAGTCGATCAGGAGCCCGATTCTGGGCTGGGCACTTATCTGGGAGATGCAAGAGAGAACCAGGATGTAGCTCCATCCTTAAAAAGTTAATGACATGGGGCGGGGGGCAGAGGACCATAACGTGAGGACACAGGCAGAAGCCCTGGGTGGGAGTAGAGAGGCACAAGCACAATGGAGAGGCCACAGCAGTCAGAAGGATCTCACTGGGAGACTTCTTGGAGGACAGGACATCTGAGCTTTGGGGGACCCAGAGATGCTGGAGGCAGAACGTGGGCCCAGCATAGGCCCTCACCGGCTTCCTTTCTCTCCTGGCCTCCACCAGGGTGTTTTTCCGGCGCCATTACCCACTCATCACCCTCCGTTTCTGCAGCATGGACCCAGAGCAACGGAAGTAAGTTCAAAACGGGGTCAAAATAAGAAGACCAGCCAGCCAGGCACAGTGGTGCATGCCTGTAAGCCCAGCAGCTCGGGAGGCTGAGACAGGAGGATTGCAGCCTAAGGCCAGCCTAAGAAATTTAGCAAGGCCCTAAACAACTTAATGAGAACCTGTCTCAAAATAAAAATAAAAAGGGCTGGGGATGTAGCTCAGTGGTAGAGTGCCCTGTGGGTTCAATCCTCAGTACCAAAAAAAAAAGGCCATCCAGAGCATGGCTGCCCACCAAGTTTCTTTCTTTCTTTTGTTTTTTTTTAAGAGAGAGAGAGAGAGAGAATTTTTTTTAATATTTATTTTTTAGTTCTCTGCGGACACAACATCTTTATTGGTGTGTGGTGCTGAGGATCGAACCCGGGCCGCACGCATGCCAGGCGAGCGCGCTACCACTTGAGCCACATCCCCAGCCACCCCCCCCCCACCAAGTTTCTTAATGACTCTGGGACTGGGATGGCAGAAGGAGCCATGAACTCCAAGAGATCAGGGGTGACAGAATGAGGGCAGGTGGGGACTTGACTGTCTAGGTTCTGTTACTGCTCATCCAGGGTCCTGCAGAATAAAGCAAAACCTCCCTCCTCAGTGTCTCATGTTCCTTTCCTACAGGTGGCAGAAGTACTGCAAGTCCTCCAGGTAAGACTTTCCTGACCCCCTCAGCCACCCTAAGAGATGTCCCTGTGGCAGGGCCCCAGACAGACCCAACAGAGCAAAGGATCTCTGAAAGGAGGGAGGCCTCCTCTTGACCCTAAAAGCTCATGGTGTCAAGGAGGGGACAGGCCCTGTCGTCAGGGAACCTTGGCTACAGGGATACCCCAAGCTGATGGTCAAGATACATGTTTGACTTCAGGGAGCTTCTACTCTTAACAAGGAAATACAGAGGTCCTGTCCTTAAAATGGAGGAAACCCAGAGAGAAGGCATTTCCCTAAGAGAGCTCCATTATAATGAGGTGCTGGAGCAAATTGCCTGGGGGAGGTGTGGGGAGGAATGAGGTATAGACCTACTATCCCACCCCAGTGCCATCAGCCTGATGCCCCCTGCATCCCACCACCAACTCAGACTGCACTCTCCCATCAGGATCTTTGGATTTGTGGCCAAGAGCCAGACGGAACCACAGGAGAACGTGTGCCACCTCTTTGCAGAGTACGACACCGTCCAGCCAGCCTCACAGGTCATCGACCTGGTGACTGCTCTGCTGCAGGACACAGAAAGGATGTAGGAGGAGGGAGCTGCCTGTGTACCTTCCCAGACATCCTGAGGGGCTTGTCCAAGAGCCATCTCCGCCCCTGAACAGTGGGGTGTGGCTACACTAATAGAACAGTCTGTTGGACTGGAGAACAGTTATCCAGCTAGAACCCTGAACCTGCTCTGACCTTCAGCAGTAACCCCCCGAGCCTGTTTCCTCAACTGAAAAAGGAGTCCGGTACACAAGACCAGCTGCTCTTCTGAGACATTAGTGGGCATCTTCAGCATGCTCCTCCATGACTCTGAGGCACACCCACGTCTGACGATCACTACTGAAAATCACCTCCAAGAACCTTCTGATTCTATCAGCTAGAAGAGAATCAGAATAATAGTCAGAGCTAGAGATCTGTGGCCCCTGTCTCATGGCAAACAGCAGGTTCTGAGTCGTGACCCATGGGGATCCCAGTCTGAGGCTGGTGACGGTTTATGAGGATTGAGGACAGACTGTCTTCTTTCCCTCCCTTTCCTGATGGCCTGTTGGATCCGCCTGCCCAGGGGTCAGCAAGTTGACCAGGCTGTGGTGGTTGTGGCAGCTCTGGTATAGAGGAGTGGGGCTTTCCCTTATGATCAGAGGAGATGCAGTTGTTCATTCTGTCTAATCTCCTCTTCCCATTGCAAATGAGCATTAACCCCACTTGGTAATCAAATGGCCCAAAGCTCAGCTTCCCTAGTGTTGCTTATACAACCTACATCTGGCAGATGTGGGTAGAGAAACCCCTTTCTAGAGCAAATGTAAGAGCAGCTCTCTGTGGTTCTGCCTCAGCTCCAGTCTTGCTGAGTCCTCCCTACACACACACACACACACACACACACACACACACACACACACACCACAGCTGTGTGGCATCAACTGGCCTCATAGCCACAAGGGGGCAGCAGAGAGTCAAGAATGCAAAGAGGCGGCTTCCTCAAAGCTAGAAGAAGCTGGGCCCTTTCCTGCTCATCTTTGCCCAGAACTAAACCAACCCAGAAGCTGGAGCCTTTTCTTTTACAGACCCAGGTTCCTAAGGAAACCACACCACGGCTGGAAAGGAAGGCTCAGGGAAGAAGCCCGCTCTGGCTCTGCAGAGCAAGCACCTACCACCTCTCGAACCAGCTCTGCCAGAGCATCATTATCTTTGGCCAAGATTGGGCCTGACAGGTTATGATTTCAACCCAGGAAACCAGACCAGACAGGAGCAGCCCTGGGCTGCGGGACAGGCTGAGCCCAGCCCACCCAGGCGGTGGTCAGTTGCTGTGCCACCCTTGGAATCTGCCAAGGTCCTCAAGGTCACAGTGCTCAGTCCTATGGCAGGGGGAAGAGGGTTGCTGGCTGTAAGCTCATGGGTGCCCGTATGGCTCCCATCATAAAAATAAAGTGTCTGTCTTTGCATAACAGTTGGTCCAGAGGCACTCAGGGCTGTCCCCTCAGAGATGGAATCTTAAACAGAGAAGGGGACTCAGCTTATCAGAGAAAATCAGATGTGCCTCCCTCCCCTGGCCACAAAAATACAGGCTTCCACTGATTCCCACGTCACAAACCATCGTTTAAACCACTCTGTCCCCCACATGCCCAGCACACCCCTTTCCTTCTTCATGCAGAAAACAGAAGGACTGGAGTTCCCCTATGTCCAGGGCCTAAGGTGAGTTTATGGCACCCTGATGAGTTCCAAAGTCTCACTTAGCCTCCTGCATTGTGAGGAGGATCCAGTGAAGCACAAGCAGCTCAACAGGAATCTAGAAGAATATCCGAACCCAAATGACCCCCAAGCTACCAGCTCAGTCCTGAAGAACTGGACAGTGGCCCCTTCATCCCACCCTGAGCCTCCTCGGGTATTCTACCCTAGCTTCTGCTAACTGGAAGCCCTCCCTCCCCACTCCTGTCCCAGGTCCTGAGATAGTAGGGCATGCCATGAGGTCACCAAGTGCAGGGGGAGGGCTGCCAAGCTATCTGCTGTCCTGCAGAGCCTGAGTGATGTGACCTCAGTGGCAAGAGCTCTTCCAAAGGGCCTGTGAAGAGACCTTCCCAACAGCCTTGATCCACCATTGGCCAGCTCCTCCTCCCCCTCCCAAGTATCTGTTAGCCTGGAGCCTGGAGCTCCTCTCAGCCCCCCTGCAACTGGGCCTTTCAGCCTAATCAGGAACAAAGCTCATGGAAGGTGACCATCTCTGCAGCATTTGCCATCATCATTCATCTTTTCTCCAAGAAGTTTTAGCAGAGACCCTGACTCGGTCTTTTGCTGATAGACACAACAGTCAGCCCAGCAAGAGTGGGAGGGCTGGAGGCAGAGGGGAGCCAGGAGTCAGAGGGCGGAGGGCCTTTGCACCCACACAGTGGCATCCCGGTCTTCTCTCCAGGAGGATCCAGGCCTTACAGTCCTTGGACCCCCTCCTGTGTCCCTCTCCCTCAGTCTTTCCATCCTTCCCATCCCTTTCTTCATCTCTATACACCCTGACCCCACCTCCCTCCCTCACTGTCCCTCTCTCACTTCCTCTCTCCTTCCTAGCCCTTCTCATCAGCCTTCTACCCAACCACTCCAACCCCAAGTCCATCCTCACTCTTTCCAGAAAACCCTTCCCTCCCTCTTGCTCTTTTCCAACTTCCTTCCCTTGCCTCTTTGTCCAGGCGGCTGGACCCACAGCAAAGCCCAGCTGCTGGGGATAATGAGAAGGGAGGAAGCAGCCCCTGCGCTGCAGACCCCGCTGCAAAACCCAGATTCCCACACCCCTCCACTCTGCCTCCTGTCTCCAGCTGGGAAGCCAGCTCTCTGGAAGGCTAAAGCTCCTCACCCACAACCTCTGACCTCTGGTGAGCCACCTCCCCACACTCGTGTCTCATTGTGGGCCAATGCTGCTCACTCTGAAGTTTCATCTTTGGCTTCTGAGCCATCACCCTGGTGCCACCCAATAATCTGAGGATTGAGAACCAGGGCAAGGAGTGGTAGCTAAGGGCCCTCAACTCAGAAGGCCTCAATTCATGCAGTGAATGTTTTCTGGCAGCAAGCTTTGGCCACATGAACTAGTGAAACAGATAAACATGACAGCATTATTTAAAAAAAAGTTTGCAAGCCAGACGTGGTGGTGCAGGCTATAATCCCAGCAGCTTGGGAGGCTGAGGCAGGAGGATCACAAGTTCAAAGCCAGCCTCAGCAACTTAGCAATACTCTGTCTCAAAAGAAAAAAATTAAAAGGGCTGGAGATTGTGGCTAAGTGGTTAGCACCCCTGGGTTCAATCCTTGGTGCCAAAAAGAAAAAATATATAGATATTTACTACCTGGGTACAGTGGCATATACCTGTAATCCTGGCAACAGGAGAGCTGAGGCAAGAGGATCGCAAGTTGGAAGCCAGTCTCAGCAACTTAGCGAGGCCCTAAGCAACTTAGCAGGACCGTGTCTCAAAAATAAATGATAAAAAGGATTAATGGATGTAACTCAGTGGTAAAGTGCTCCTGGATTTAATCCTCAGTATCAATTTTAAAAGATCTTTTTTTTTGGCAGGGAGGATACAAGGGATTGAACTCAGGGGCACTCAACCACTGAGCCACATCCCCACCCCTAATTTGTATCTTATTTAGAGACAGAGTCTCACTGAGTTGCTTAGGGCCTCACTAAGTGGCTGAGGCTAGCTTTGAACTCATGATCCTCCTGCCTCAGCCTCCGAGCCACTGGGATTACCGACATGTGCCACCACACCCGGCTCAATTTTTTAAAAAAAAATTTTAAATGAACAAAGTTTGCAAATGCCATGCAGGCTTGGTGGTGAAAGTAGAAACAGGCAAGATCAACTTTATCCCCTCAGAGGACAGGAGAGTCTTCCAGGGTGAATAGGACTTTGCCATGCAAAGAAGGGGAGAAACCAACTTTTATTGTGGGAATTCTATGTGCTAAATGCAATGTGAGTCATATTATATATTTAATCCCATTCTGCAGATTAGAAAAATGAAGCTCAAAGAGTGAACTTGCAAATGGCAGAGAAACAGCATTCCAAGTCCACTCCCATCCTACTGCCCCAGCACTCTCAGACAAGCAGATGGGCAAATTTGTATGTGAAGCACACAGATGTAAAAAGGTGTGCCATGTTTAGTGTGGCTAAAGAATATGGTACCCAAGGTGTGCCATGTTTAACGTGGCCAAAGAATATGGGACGTAAGGGAGTAGATGAAAGAAGAAAAGGAAAGAGGCAGACTGAGGACCATGTGGGAAAGAAGAGGACCAGAGACCCCATTTCCCTCATCTCAGGCTACCATATTTTGTTGTAGTACTTGTTATCCAGTGTGTGTCTTCAACAATAGAAATTTTCTCACAGCTCTGAGGCTACAGTTGGAGATGTGGGAGCCTACATTGTCAGGCCCCGAAAGAGCCCTCTTCCTAGCTTACAGATCTCTCACTGTGGGCTCACAGGTGCGCTCCAGGAGGAACTCTCTCTTCCTCTTATAAAGCCACCAATCCTGATTAGGACTCTAACCATATGACCTCATTTAACCCTTATTACCTCCAAAAATTCCTGTCTCTACATACAGTCACACTGGGGAGGAGGGAGACGTCAATAGGTAAATTTGCAGGAAACAATTCAATCCATAGCCCTCTCCAGCCAGGGTCCTGCCCTCCACTGTCCCTCACCCCTTCCATCCCCCCAGTCCCTATCAGGCTGAAGCTCCTGACCCAGGAAGACAGACCCTGTGCTCCTTGGAGCCAGTCAGCCAGCTTCTCCTTCCACCAGAGCTGTCCTTAGGACCAGAGGGACCAGGACAGGAGGGGAGGGGGGGAAAAGCACTGAGCAGGGGGCCTTGGCCCTCAGTCTTTCACTTCTCCCCAGCTGGCTGCAGCCAGGACATGGGTGGAGGCAGTGTCTCTTGGCTGGGAGCAGGTCAGGACAAGGACACTCTTCAGGGGAAGGAAGGGAAGCCAAGAGAGGAAGAGGAGGGAGACTGACCCAGGCTTATTCCACATTGCACAAATTTGTGTTGAACCCCAAAGAGAACAGTGCAGAATAGG